TGCGTCACACCGTGGAGGTGCGTGGGAGAGATTAATCAGGTCAGTTCGTAAGGTCTTGAACTCTATTGTGAGGACTCAGAGTCTGGACGAAGAGAGTTTGGCTACAGTGTTTTGTGAAGCAGAGGCGATTATTAACGGCCGGCCAATAACTAAGGCTTCTACTGATACCAATGATTTGGAGGCGTTAACCCCCAACCATCTCCTGCTCCTCAAGTCACAGCCGTCATTACCTCCAGGTCTGTTTGATAAGGCTGATGTGTATGCGCGTCGTCGTTGGAAGCAGGTGCAGTACATGTCAGATCTGTTCTGGAAACGTTGGTGTAAGGAGTACTTTCCAACTCTTCAAGAGCGCCAGAAGTGGAATAGTACCACAAGAAACTTTATGCCCGGAGACATTGTTCTGCTGTTGGACGATATGGCTCCGCGAGGTTCTTGGATTACCGCAAGAGTTTTGAGCACTGTTCCTGACAGGAATGGACTTGTGCGCACTGTAAGAGTTCGAACTAAAACGAGCGTACTGGATCGACCAATCACTAAGATCTGTCTGCTACAGGAAGCAGAACAGTGATTGATTCTATGGACACTTATGTTTGTTTTGTTTGTGTGTCTCCTGCATATTAGTGGTGATGGGTAATTATTTCTTGGTAATAATTAGGGACCGGAATGTAGGAGCCACATATTAGCTCTTTCTGTCTTAGTATCTGCACGGCTGAGGGCTCACGCACTGTCCTAGTTTGTCCACTGGGTGGCAGTTTAGAGTGGCGTCTCTCAATTAAGCTGCACCTGTGTTGGGCTTAAGAGGGGCATGTGCACACCTGTGGGATAGGCATCATGGCAGGGTGAGCACGGGCTGCTACTTTCTGTTGACCGTAAGCAACATTCTGTACATCCATCATCATCCGGAAGAGCAACTGAGTCAACTCCACGAAACATCAAGTAAGTCCCTATCTGCATACGAATGAATCTATGCGTCAGCAACATAGCCCGTGTCTTAGCCTGCCGCGGCGTATTGCCTCAGTTTGGACATTTTACGCCGCAATAGGAACCCTCCTAAACTATGATGTGTTAACCCATATGTTTTCATGACCACCATTATAATGAAAGGGTGAAACAAAATGATATATTCAAGACTTTGAAGTGGGTGTTAAGTGTGTATTTAATTGTCACCACTAAAGCGAAGAGAATGCTGTATTTCTACTCACCGACTGTGATTTGCGCCACGCCCAGGACGAGGCAGACAAATGTTTTGCTGCATGCTAGAAATATGAAACAACTGTGTGATGAGCAAGATAAAAATACCACATAACTCAGATGTCAGTCATGTCTTACGTAGAGTGCGCAGTGAGGGCCAAGGAGCATCCTTCACACGCTCAATAACAATCATGTTTGGACACAAGGCCTGGAGGCAAAACCAAAGAACCAACAGTTTATGATGTCGTAAAAACTTCCAACAAGTGAACATAAACAAAATAATGTCACGTTGATTAAGGCTGCACCGTTAATGGTAATCAAATCAAAATTGATAGTGGTCACAATTTTGGTGGCAGCAAATACACATCACAAATACTGCAATCATTTAGATCACAGTTCTTTACAAACAGAAATATATATATATATATATATATATATATATATCAGTCCATCTTTGTGTTTAAGGCTCTGAAACTGCAATGATCATAAAACAGGCTAGTAAGAGATTAAATAAGGAAGTACTTCTCATCCTTTGAGTGCATTAGGACTGTTAAATCTGCTCTTGTCTTCTCTAACTTAGTGTGGTTTTAAGTTGAGAATGTGTTTGTCAAATGATTTCAACGCAGAAAATGTTGTAATATAAAGAAATACGTTTTTTTTTTTTTTTTTGAAATTCCACATACACTTTGGCAGAACATATCAACTATGGACATACACATACATGATGTTGGTCTGTAGAAAGAACTTCCAGACATGATTATAATATACAAGAAGATACTTTACACATGTTTCCAATTTTCTGTCAAAAAAGTATTTTTTCCTAAAGAGTTGTATTGCGTCCTGCCTAACCCTAAAGTGTAATGGCTGACTAACGAAAGGGAGAAACATAATATACATCATTATATATTCCGAACATACTTTTAAAAGGGTAATTACAGATTTTAGTTTTGTCTCACTTTGAATTCATGACGTCACAAAAGTAATAGCAAATCAAATCGTAATCGCAATGGTCTGATAAATCGCTATTTCATATGTGTTGTTATTGTACAGCGCTAAAAGCATTACTAATATCCGCCCACATATTTGGAAAATGCTAAAATCCCAGAAAAAAAAGTTGTATGTAATTGTAACTGAATTCAATACGCCACCATTGAATTAATATGACATTATTTACCGTATTTGGTTTAAACACACATCTCATGCTTTGTTCAAGATGAAATGTGTGAGGTGATTGCATTCCCCACCAACTTAAGCAAGTTTCTAATCAACTTTACTAGAGAGAACTAACGACTTGACCAAATGTAAGATCAGATTCCAAATATAGCTCATATTGGATATAGCATATATGGGACGCGCTCATGTTGAAACAGCGCTCTCTCATAAATCAACCTCCACAGATTTATATTTAACTCAAAACAAGAATAATCCAAGCTAAACCGCTTCGTGTGTTGGTTTGAACGCGTTTTTTAGATGCAGGATCCTTACCTGTGCCCGTTTAAGCCCGGTGTGCGCGCGACTATACACAAAAAATATCTCTCAAAACTTTATTGTGTGTGTGTAGACAGTACTGTTGCATATCCAATAGGGGTGGGAACCTAAGGGTACCATACGATACAAAGCTCACAATCACGATAACAATATCACGATATGACGATTATCGATATATTGGTCAGAAATATACAATATGTCAATTTATCGAATCGCATAGAAAGTATCGCGATATATCGTCACACCCCTAATATCCAACACATATATAACTTATAAACTGTGCAGTCGTTTCTTTTGCACTGTTCCTGTCTTTGTTTGAATCTGCACTTGTAGCTTATTGCGTCTGTTGCATTCCTCCTGCACTTGTAAATCGTTGATGTTTGGTCTGTGATATTTATCACTTATTGTTTTAATAAAATAAGTTTCCAACGAGAACTGAGTCGTTATTCACAGCATCACAGTTAAATGAGTTATGAAACAATGAGTCCATAGAACTATCACATAAACCTACAGTAGATATGGTTTTTGTTCTGAAGAGGAGAAAGTAGCAGCGTGAATGGGACCGCTTTGGTTTCTCAGGCAACTCCTGTGAGATCGCTATCATGTGGTTGGATGTGGGATTACAACAGTCTGGAAATGCACAGCTGTCACCTCACACACCCGCATGCGCCCACAGGGAGGGTCACGTGACGAGCATATTCTTTTTTTAGAATATGACTTCAACAGATGCAACAGTAAATACTACTTCATCCTGGGAAAATTCTGCATACATAAGTTTTTTATTTTATCTTTTTTTTTTATTCTTTAGTCTTTGGTCCCCAGAAACAAAGGGAGAGCGTCATCTGTCACCTCCAGTCTCTCTCCCTAAAACCTTCAAACAAGGTCAGAAATCTGGGGGTAATACTGGACTCAGACTTCAATTTTAATAGCCACATTAAATCAGTAACATCAGCAGCTTTTTACCATCTAAAAAACATTGCCAGGATCAAAAACATAGTGTCTAAAGCAGACCTGGAGATTCTTATCCATGCATTTGTCTCCAGTAGGTTAGACTACTGCAATGGCTTGTTCACAGGTCTGTCCAAACAGGCTGTAAAACAGCTGCAGTACATTCAAAATGCAGCAGCTCGAGTCCTGACTAGAACCAGGAAGTACGACCACATTAGACCAGTTCTCAGGTCTCTGCACTGGCTTCCTGTGGCTCAGAGAATAGACTTTAAAACAGCTCTGCTTGTGTACAAGTCTCTCCATGGCCTCGCACCAAAATATATTAGTGACATGTTAGTCCCATATGAACCAGCCCGGACTCTGAGGAGCACAGGGACTGGACTCCTGTTAGTGCCCAGAGTCAGGACTAAACATGGGGAGGCTGCTTTTCAGATTCATGCTGCTAAAATCTGGAACAGTCTTCCTGAAGATGTGAGACAGGCCTCCTCTCTGACAATGTTTAAAACCAGGTTAAAGACAGTTCTGTTTAGCTGTGCATACAACTGAGGGATTTTATATTTGTATCTGTCTTTTTAATGTTCTGTGATTATTTATGATTTTAATGCTTTCTTATTTTGTTCAGCACTTTGAATTGCCTTGTGTATGAATTGTGCTATATAAATAAACTTGCCTTGCCTTTAGATTTATTGAAAGTAAAGCTTGGTTAAACATGTTTAAAAAAAATGTGTGCAAAGAAACCTCTGATTTCCAAAACAATCACATACAGTTTATAATGTCTCATATGATCTTCTTAAAATACTTCAGTAACATTTTATTTAAATATATATGTATCAATTCTAAACTTAATAAATCTAATTAGATAATGGAACTTAAGAAAGAACAGATTTCCAATGAAAACATATGATATGAGCCCAACGTGTAATGGGACAGTTGTGTTGACCAGTGAGCCAAGATAATACATAACTGTTTTGGTTAATAAAAATAAAAGGTCCCTATAATTCAACTCCCACTGACAGTAAACCGTGGGAAATTGTTTTTGACCTGCCGATAGTTTATCAAGAGGTTCAGAAAAAAAAGTTTTCTGTTTGCGTTGATAATGGTAATATTTATACCCACACAAACTGCAATGATGTAACAGATAAAATAAGACAGCTACAAACACATTGTATAATGTGGACTCTTGTTGCCTGGTAACAGAGAGCATGACACGCTCCTTGTTCTCGTCAATTTGGTGAAAAAGTTGCTTTGATTTTCCACGTCTGAACTGGAAACGGCACATTCCAAAAGATAAGGCAATATCATCATGTGAAAAATGTAAACAAACAAGTCGATAGCTTCAAAGTGCCTAGTTGTTGTGAAAGAGAAGGTCAGGATCAGTCGTCAGGATCGGCACGACCACAGAGGAAGAAGCAGAAGAGCACGCAGCAGCCTCCCACCAGGAAGCCCCCCAGTAGGATGTAGACCAGGGTGGTGGTCCAGAAGGCGAACAGATACACGGTCTTGTGGCAGTACGTGGAGTCGGCCACAGTGTCATTCTTCACATAGTTGGGCTCGTAAATCCTGTAGATCCACACATTACCTGCAGAGGGCGCAACGACATGTTGGGCAGAGGTTGGAGACAGGACAGGAAAGAAGAAACATAGGCAGCTAAAAAACCTCACTACAACTCAGTACTGTCACTCCCGTATTCGTCCTAGAAACCGGATTCGTCCGGAAGTTCAGTTTGCGCATGTCAAAAAGTGTAATACGTCCTTAAGTGGTGACTGGTTAAGTTTAGGTGTCTAAGTAAGATGGTTAAGTTTAGGGTTAAGGCTGGGTTGGGGTTATTTTATGAAAATGGCTGGTCAAGTTTAGGCATGAATAGGTAGTTTTTTATATTTACTTCCGCTTCCGTCCAGATTCCGTGACGTAATCTACTGCTGCGTATGCTCATTGGATCAAACTGAACTTCCGGACGAATCCGGTTTCCGGGACAAATATGGGAGTGACAAGCACAATGCCGTAGCAATAGCATATGGCTTTGTGGTGAGTTGTTTGTTTACAGGAAATGATGACGATGAGACTTTTCAAATTAAATTATATATATTTAAATAACATCATCAATAGATAATATATGGTGACTAACTAAAAACGTGGTTAAACAACTAAAATAACTGAATTTGCACGAAACGGCCTCTTTATCAATGGATGTTAGGTGGACATACTCACCAGCGATGAACCAGCAGAAGACAAAAGTGGAGGCGAGGGAGTTCCAGGTGGTGCAGAGGCGGTAGAGGGGGTTGGTGGTGCCGTCTTTGGGGTTTTGGGCACAGGGCAGACAGGACAGCAGGGTCAGAATCAGGCCGAACACCCCCATCACCACCAGGTAGATGGGGATGAAGTGCTCCTGGGGACACTCCTCCAAGTATGCGGCACCTGGACCAGGAAATACATGAAGTCACATGAGATGTTGGTAATGATCAAAAGTCAGATTTCTAGTCTTAGTTCAGAGTGACTTTCTCTGTCATTCCTGGGCTAATCTACATTAAGTACATGTCAATACAGTCTAGTAGAAGTAGTCTAGTATTATTTTCTCATAAAAAGGTGTTGAAGGTGTAAAAGTGGTGCTAACATTAAAAAAATATATGCATAACGTTGGCCATGTACAAAGATTAATAACATAAGATTAAAATGGCAGGTTTCCACGGCATCATCTTACTTTTGTCTGGTATAGAAGAACAGAATCTAGTCAGGAGACAATGAACCCTCCTAAATTATGAACAAAACCTATTTGTTACTCCATATTTTTGCCTCACCAACACACTTTGAAGTGGGTTTTAAGTGTTACTTGTCACCAGCTTTGCACAAAAACTAAAGCGAAGAGAATGCTGTATTTCTACTCACCGACTGCGATTTGCGCCACAGGCAGGATGCAGACAAACATTTTGCTGCATACTAGAAATATGACACAAGTGAGTGATGAGCAACATAAAACAGACCACATAACTCAGAAGTCAGTCATGTCTTACTTAGAACCGGCAGTGGGGGCCGAGGAGCATCCTTCACACGCTTGTATAAGGCACTCATGTTTGGACACGGCCTGGAAGCAAAACCAAAAAAACCAACCGTTCATGATGTTGTAAAAACTTCCAACAAGTGAACATAAACAAAGTACTGTCACGTTAATTAAAGCTGCACCGTTAATGGTAATCAAATCAAAATTGATAGTGGTCGCAATTTTGTTGGCCGCAAATCACAAACACTGCAATCATTAGATCACAGTTCTTTACAAACAGAAACATATATAAATAATTCGGACTGTTAGATCTACTTATGTCTTCTCTAACTTTAGTGTGCTTTTAAGTTGAGAATGTGTTTGTCAAATGATTTCAACGCAGAAATTGTTGTAATATAAATAAATATGTTTTTTCAGATATCACAAAATTCCACATACTTTGTCAGAACATAATGTTGGTCTATATACAGAACTTCCAGAAGATACTTGGACTTTTTATTTTTTCATTTTTTTCTGAAAAACGTATTGCGTCCTGCCTAACCCTAATAGTTTTAATTCAATAAAGGATGAAAGCTAATTATATAATCAAGATAGTTTCAAAAGGCTAATTACAGATTTCAGTTGTCTCCAGTTGGAATTCCTCACTTCAAAACAGAAATAGCAAATCAAATCGTACTCGCAATTCCTTGAAAGATCACAATTTTGTGATCTTTGTTGTGTTTTATACAATACTTTGACATGGCTTTGTTGTGTTTTATACAATACTTTGACATGGCTGTGATCTCTGTGAAGTCAGATCCAGGTGAGGTGACTGCATTCCCCACCAAGCCAGTCAGACAGGAACTACTTTTGGAACTTTCCCACAACTTCACAACACCCCACGTTTTTTGATCAACTTTACTGGAGAGATTTAGAGTAAAGACTTGACCAAATGCAAGATCAGATTCCAAATATAGCCCTGAAAGAAGACAGTAGATAAAGCACAAATGGGACGCGCTTATGTTGACACAGCGCGCCACTCCCTATAAAAACACTTTCCCAGATTTATATTTCACTCAAAACAAGTATAATCCAAACTAAACCGAAGTGTGTTGGTTTGAACGCGTTTTTAAGCTGCGGGATGCTTACCTGTGCGTTTAAGTCTGTGTTAAGAGTTGTACCTCTGGATCTGCGCCCGTCACCGCACCTACACCACCGTGCGCCCGGGGAAGGGTCACGTGACGAGCAGGCAGACACAGGATTGGTCGAGGCTGGACTGCAGTCACGTATAATTAGAATATGACTTTAATTGATGCAGTAAGTACTTGGTTAATCTGTTAATCGTCCACATACATACGTTTTTCTATTTATTTTGTATTTGAAAGTCAAGCTTGGTCACAAATCTAAAAAAAAAAAGAAAGACAAAAGAAAATGTGCAATAAAACCTCTGACAACGTTGCAGGATAGGACATGTTGATGTGTCATTGTGAACTTACCCAGGCAACGCAAACACAGAAAGCATTTAAAAAACAGTCTAGTTGGTTGTGAATTATAAGATATTTTTAATCATTTGTGTAAAACGTGAATATTGTATTTTCATAAACTGCTCCTTGACACAGTCACACTAAAACAATGGTTCTCAAATGGTGGGTAGGGACCTGAAAGTGGATCACGGGATCATCTGTAGCGGGTCGAGAACGTTCATGGGCACCTATTTTAAACACGTATCTACTACACAGCAAAAAGTTATTATTCTAGAACAAAGCAACATTCTCTGGATAAGAAACTGCTCTTGATTTAAGAAAGTCATTTTAAGACATTTACCCACAAGGCATGTTTTTAAAGTAATAACAATAATCAAGAAGCACATAAATCAACTGAAAATTAGATAATGACTTACCATAAAATGTAAACCTGGCCCCATTGGCAGATTTCTTCCATCGTAACAAAAATACTTATTTCAAGATTTGTTTCAATCTATTACATTGATTCCAGAGTCTGTTGAAGTGTTTGCGTTCATAACTTTACCTTTCGAAGTGTTTTCCAATGCTTATAAAACAATCATTTGTGAGAACTTACAGTATTCTCAATTATATATAAATACTAAATCCAGTTCTTTGGGATCGAGGCTTGGCGTGTGTGTGTTGATGTCGGCTCCAGAACCACAGTGCAACAAGTTGAACATGTAACCCGCCACATGTTGCCTCATTTTGGCTGCTCTTTCCTCCACACATTGATCTGACCAGCAGACCAGAAGCAGACCAGAAGCAGACTAGCAGCAGCAGCAGTGTTGATAATGGTGATTACACAGAGACATAATCAGAGGTCAGTGAGGCAGGGGCTGGATGACGTCTCCAGGAAAACGCAGGCTCTGGAGGACCCTTTGCGGAGCTCCAGGATGTGGCTCTTACTGCGCTGCCACTCCGCCGTCTGCACCCGGACTTCACCCAACATGGAGTCCCACAGCACGCCCCTCCGCCATAACTAGAACCAACAACACGACAAATCATCAAAAACATGTCTATTTATGCTGTCACATGTTTGGAGAGTTGCGTTTAAAATGTATTTTTTTATATTGTCATGTTTATTTACTGGTGCAAAACATATAAACTTAATATTTTCTATTCAATTAAATCAAATGTATTTGTGTACAGCCCTAAATCACAACAGAGGTCGTCTCAGAGGACTGTATATAGTTGTCGATTCACCAATGACAGATCCGGGAATCAAACAGTTCAACCACAGGAAATGCAATAATAACAAACACATAGATTGTTCCATATGGAGCGGGCTGGCCACTGTCCATTCATGTTAAAACATAGATTAGAGATCATCGTACTTACAACCTCCTGCATCAACTGCAAAAATGAAACCATTATAACATATGGACTAATTTTACATGCAGAGTGACATGTTGTGTAAAGCCTTTGTTTTGATTATTTTGCGAGGGTGGTCCTAAAGATGACCTCAAGAAGTGAAACTGATGAGAGAACCAAAATGTTTTAATTTTGGGTGAAAGGTTAGGAAACCCAGCTTTAAGATCAAGACAACCTTTAAATGTTGCTTTGATACCCGTCTTACATTTCCTTTTTTATACATAATTGTAAAACATGTTCTTTGTCTCATATCAATAAGCTGCTAACTTTGTATTTGTTATTACAGTGTATTTTTTTATATTGGGGCCATGGAACTTCTATATGATTCATTATACTTATTCAAAAGGACAAACCTCTATAGAAATGTGGACATGTGGGTGTCTCCTGTAGAAGATGCTCCTGAGGTTGAAGTCTGGGTTTCCTTCAGCTTTGAACACGTGGCTCCGGACCGTGTTGTTTTCACAGCGTATGACAGCGTAAACATCTGGAGCTGGAAGTTTACAAAGAGCACATTTAAAAATAACGCGTAGATCTACTGAGGAGACACTCGTGTATGTTCATATGAATGATTATGTAACACATAAGTGACGCTGCTCAGACCTTTCTGCTCATGGACACAGAGAGCGGTCGCTCTGCGCAGGTGCACCGTGGTCACGACTGTGGGCTGCGGTAACACACAGTGGAAGACAGAGGGCGCTGGTAAGTCCTCCACCAGTTCACTGCAAAGGAAGATACAGTTGCTAATTTATAAACAACACTCAAAAAACAAAAGGCATGAATGAAGTTAGAATTTTTTTTATTTTACATTGCATTTCACAATACATTAATGATAAAAAAAAAATATTCCAACCAAAGGTCTGAGACGCACCGTTGCTGACCAGGGGGTTATTCATTTTAAATTGCATTTTAATAAAACATATGTACCTGCATTACATTTTAAAATGGTAAATTATCAATAATATTCAAAACGAATTTCCAGAGTAAACAGATTTGTCAAATCTGAGTTGGGGTCCTACACAAAATGTGGTGGAATTGAAAATTAAAACTAAGTTTGGCATCCACTCTGCGATTGTAAATATGCATACACATGTCATCACTACAACATTTTCTTTTGTCTTCAAATTGAGAATCAACTGTGTGTTAAAAGTATTTATGTTGTGAGTTTGCTCCGTGTGACTGAGCACCTCACCTGAGCCGTATGTGTGAATGAGAGAAGAGTCGCAGCAGGAAGCGGCCCGTGGCTCCTGGGAGGAAGGTGGTCGGCAGGACGACGTAACGGCCCGGACCCAAGAGCGCTCGCACGGTGACACTGCGAGAATCCATGTACACAGAGCTCACGGCCTGCTCCAGCACACACTGCACACGGCTGCAGCGGTTCACCTCCACCTGAGCAAGAGCACACCACCAGACCCTCAGACCACCTGCACCACCTCCTCCTGATTCAGATTCAGTTTATTAGTCATTTGCAGTAAAACCACATTGGAATGCATGTGCAAAAGCCCCGCAGTGTGTACCAGACAAGTTGTCACTGTCATTTCATCCCTGAAACATGTTTGATGTTAAAAACTCTCAACCAGAATAATGGCAGAGTGTTTTTGATCGTTCTCACCTTCAGGACTTCAAATCCAATGGGCAAGTTTTCTCCATCGCCATTTTTCCTCCTCATCCTCCGGTCCTCCTGCTGCAGACAGATCAGCACCTCCTCCTCTTTTCGGACGTCAAACATAAACTACAAGACAGACAGTTACATTCATATTTTTAGTATGTCCATTCATTCATTTTTCTGGATTTATAAAAGTTGTATTATATTCCAGACAATATATCACAATTTACTCCACTCAGATGCAGGTGGTGCCAGTTGAAAGAATTGTCAACTAATTCAATAATCAATTAATCATATTTTGAACCTTCTATAGTCAAATATGCTGAGAAGATATTTCCATAATGACTGTAGAACGAAATGAAATTGTGACTTGAAACAACCCAATGTGTAAGCGGTCATCTCTACGCAGGTCACTCTGGCTTTGTTTTGGTCAAATGTGTAAAGGATTCACATATTCACTGAGCTTTCAGGACCTAAAGAGGTACTCGGTTAATTGAAAGAATATTCCACCATTTCATCGATTATCAAAGTAATTACAGCACAATATGGTATGACATAACATGCATCTACGCAAATAGAACTTGGACTTGGAAAACAGCAGATGGATTCACATAAACACGTTGGCATCAGTAGAGCTCTCCGTAACTTGGATACTACTTGTTCACGGTTACACGAGTATTCTTTCGTAAGTAAGCAAGTAATCTTTATTTATGTAGCACATTGTTACGGACCAAGGTATTTTTCCATTCTCTCCACGCACATCAAAGCCCCTTACAAACACCAGCCCTTCACTCACTCATTACATTCAGACCTATTGTACATTTATTTAGTGGTTGGGGAAACTGGAGCACCTGGAGGAAACTGGAGCCCCTGGAGGAAACCGGAGCGTACACGGGGAGAAAGATGTAAACTCCACTCAGAAAGGCCCCTTCCAACCCGGATTTGAGCCCAGGACCATCTTGCTATCCACTCAGCCAGTGCTTACTTCATATTCATTACCTGTGGGTTGTGTAGAAAGGTGTCTCTGTGGTTGATGCATCCTCCACATCGGCTCCTCGTATCCGTCTGCTCTTCCCAAACTCTGCTCAGCTGTGACCTCCTCTCATTCGACTTCTGAGGGACATCTTTGAGCACCTTGTCCCTGCGGTTCTCCCCCTGTCGTGCCTCTTTGCAGTTCCCCCTTTGCGGCGTAGTCTTGAGGGAGGGGGTTCTCCGTGGGACAGTGCAGAGGGGTGGAGGAGGGGGGTCAGGGGTGGACGGAGCCGGGGTCCACTGTCCGAAGCGGCTCACCTCTCTCCAGGACGATCGAGGCCACAGTGAAGCCTTCTCCACCAGGCGACACACGACCACGTCAGTGAAATAGCGGCAGAAGTCCTCAAACTCCATCCTAGCGAAGGCAAAACACAACATCAACCTCATGTGTGTGTTTTTTTGTTCATTTTTCTTGTAAGCAAGGATAAGTGGGAAAGACAATACCACAATCTGTACACATAGCAACTCAAAGTGGGTTTCAAAACAAGAGCCCATTCGAATTAAATATAATTTTGAACAGAAAATTAGATTTTTCAGTTGTACGCAGAGCTAAACAGAAATGTTTTAGCCTGGATTTGAACATAGTCAAAGTAGAGGCCTCTCTGTGTTTAGTCCTGACACTGGGCCCCAGCAGGAGGCCAGACCCGGTGCTCTTCAGAGTCCAAGATGGTTCAAATGGCACTTATCATTTATCACAAAAAAGCAGTAGAGCTCTCACACACATTAGTCAAAGCAAAGGAAGGTTTCTCACCCATCATCTGTACTTCTTAGCAAGTTTTCCCAACGTTTCGTCCTCAAACTAGCGGACTTCTTCAGGGAATGAATTCTCGGACCGCGCGTTGGAGATTTATAACCTATGGGTGTGGTTAGCCACACCCTAATCCTGATACTAACTCATAAACAATCTAAGGTCTGCTTGATGTAGAAGGGAGCAGATCTGCTCCCTTCTTGTTTGAGGACGAAACGTCGGGAAAACTTGCTAAGAAGTACAGATGATGGGTGAGAAACCTTCCTTTGCTTCAATATGGCATTATATATATACATATATATTTCAGTCAACAAATCATAATAAGTTCTTTGCTTATTCATTTGTCCCTCTCACATCACTTTTTCCTCCACCCATGATTGTTCACTTCTTGTTACACAGTGCCACCTGCTGGCCAACAGCACAAATCCCTGTAAAGCTGTTCTCTGCATCTTACACGAAAACATGTGATTTTGTAAGTCGGTCACTATCTGACTCTTTGGGTTTAAAAAGGATTGGCATTTTCACTTTTCTGTCAGAAAAAGTAAAAAAATACATGCATGTGAAAATTAGTGGAAAAAAAACAATTATTGTGGGCTCGAGGAACTAGTGACATGGATTAATGTACATACTTCCATTGTTGTGGTCTGAATGTTATGTAGTCCAGCTTTAATATACCTTGTTGTGAAATTATAATTGAATATTGAGATGAATTAACTTACCAAAACTGTCCTAAATCTCGAACAGGAAGGCCCAACTTGTCTCTGTCAGTGCGACTGATCTGCTGCCACTGCTGCGACCTGCAGAGTCCAACAATAGTAAAATGTTAGGATCAGCAGAACACTGGAAATACCTTAAAAACACAAAAACTTCTGGAAGTCCTTACGATTCCCCATTGACTCTTTGAAAATCCTCTAATGCACATGGCAGGTGTCTTCTGACTAAGAGCTTATAAAATGCCTCCACATGCAGTTATAAAATGTTATTAGTAATGGAAGCAAATGTCCAGAACAGTAAAGTTCTCAGACTTGATATTCCCCCGTCTCTTATATAGATCATGTGGTGGGCTGAGAAGTGCGACATGTGGCAGTGTCCACAGGGCCTCACCCTTGACTCCAGGCTCCTGTCCAGTCGATGGAGCCCCAGGGGTTCCTCATGCGCAGCAGTAGAAGGCGGGACATCCTGCCGGCGGACAGTCTTTCAGGCACATGGACCTTCTTCAGGGCAGTGATCCCGTAGGCGTGGCCCCGCACCAGGCCACACTCCATCACAGACTCCACCAGCTCGCCCTCAGCCGGCTGAAACATACATTTATTTGTGAAACCAACGTTCTTTTGGTTTCACAAATACATATTGTTCATCTCAACAGGAAAAGTCTTGTTAAAGTAACACTTTGTGAACAAATCAGACCACAACATGCTGTCGATACTGTATATCTATTACATACTGAGAGCTGGTTGGTTGAGTGAGGGTGATTCTCTCTTTTGCACATTTTAGTCTGAAGAAGCTGATCTAAAGATGAGACAGAAGCCAGTAATATGTAAACTAGTTTAGTGTGCAAAGAAGTAATTTACTTTTATAGATACATAGTTTAAGCACTCCAGCTTTAAGTAAAAGGACAGATACAGTATACTCTGGGAACAGCTGACTATGTGGGACAAGCTAAAATATACAGATACAGATATTGTATGTACTTTAAATGTGATTTTGTTAAATCATTGATAGGAAATATTTTCATTTGAGACTATTTCAGCAATTGATAACATTTTAGCGTTTGATACAGGCAGAGAGAAAAGATAAGATAGACTTTATTGATCTCACATTGGAGAAAATTACAAGAGTGACCATAAACAAAATATGGAACACATACAGTAAGCCAAAACCGTTTTTAATGCCATCTCACCCACAAAAGTAACTATTAATTCTAAAAAGTGTGGAGGATTCAGATACCAGTAAAAATACTTAGTAATTAATTTCCACCACTGCTAACATTAAGACACATGAAACCAGGAACAGGTCATGTGCAATTACTCACATTTAAAACAGTGATTTTTTGTTTTTCTATTGAATATGATAAAAAATGAAGGTATAATCAATTACCTTCTCTTGTTTCTAATTACTTAAAGGCATGTAAAGGCATAACAGAAAATGTAACAAAGTAGACTATTATTACCAAAATATGTGTATAGGTTTGCCTCATGTGTTTGATTTGAGCGATTTATAATTAATGAAGTTTGATTGATTCAAAATGGTTATTATTGATCATAAATAAGAACAATGAATGGTATGTTCAAAGCGGCAGAAAAAGAAAACAAAAACACATTTCAAAGAATGTAAAGTATGGCAGCAGATGTGACTAATTTCACAGTCTCTGATTTAAACCATAGACTGTTAACATCCAAAAAATCCAAAAAAGGCGATTACCCGAATGAAGCAGGTGATGAGGGCTTTCCTCTCGTGCGCTTGGGCCAGTGTGTGAAACAGCGCCCTCCTCTGGTCGCTCTGCAGACTGAGCGCTTCCCGGTTCAGACTGAGGGGCTCTGAAACTCCACCCGTGAAATCGATCAGGGCCTCGGCCGTGTTTCCTCCCTCCAGAGCCTCATAGCAGCCGTTCAGTCTAAGTGCACCAGGACAAGCGGAGGATAAAGCCTGATTTATGGATTCAATATCAACAACGTCAATTACATGAAGAACAATGCTGCCATTAGTTTTGATGCAGTGAGTCAACAATGGCAGTGCACAACTCATTCTACCAACCCCAAAACATGTGGTCATTATAGTATACTTGGCTTGACAAGATTTCCAACAAGAAGATATTTTCGAGCAATACTGTATCTTGTGGTCTTAAAATGTCTGCCGAGTTTTGACTCTAAAGGGTCTCTCTATAGTGCATTTGATGATTTGAAGAAGAAAAATATTATGCAGTAATTTTTGGCAATTAAATAAGATATAATATCGTCGGTAGAAAATGTGTATTATTGTCATTATTATTATTATTTAGAAATGGGGCGACAGTGGGTCAGTTGGTAGGGCATCAGCCTTTGAGCCTGAAGGTCATGGGTTAGAGCCCACCATGAGACCTACTTCATGACTCCCACTGATGACTGCTGTCGTTGTGTCGTTTGGCAAGATACTTAACCCCACTTTGCCTGAAGCCCCCGGTGAATGATCTCTGCTCCTGTGGACTCACCACCTGCAGGAGGATCAGTGAGGGGCTGGTGCTATGTGTACTGGGTGAAGCTCTGACTGCCACCCCCCGACCCAGAAATGGATTAAGGGGAAGAAAATGGATGGATGGATGGATTATTTAGTAATAGTGGTAGTTTCTTCTGTCAATTAGATCTAGATCACATGTTTTCAAAGATCTTACACATTTTACAATAAGAAAAAACGGTGCCGTATTAGGGATGTAAATCGGCGACCGGTTAACCGGTGGTTGACCGTCACAGCGTTAACCGGTCAAAGCTGTCGGTTAAAAAAAAGAAAAAGGGGAGAGGGGAGGTCTCTTCATAACGCTATTTTAAGCCCTATTTGCACGGTGTGACGAGCGGGTCCGTATCTAGCTGTGTGCGCCCATGTATTATAAACTCCGGGACGACTCTCACGCCGCACGAGCCACATATGCACACGCACGCGCGCGCGCACACACACACACACACACTTTCCCCCTCTCCATACGTAACATCCACACGCATCATCTCTCCCCTCTGTTACCGTCAAAGTTGCACACTGGCGCGGGTCAGAACTACATTGGAGCTTACATTTACATACACACACATATACACACACATACATACACACACATACACACACACACACATACACACACACATACACACACACATACACACACACATACACACACACATACACACACACATACCGGTCTGTCGCGCTCCTCTGTGTCACGGAGCCCAAAGGATTCACGCAAACACACGGCTTCAGTCAAACCACATGGACCATGTTTGTGTTTATGGTCCTCGGGATCAGCCCCACACACATCACTTGTATTTAAACTTTTGTGAAGACCTGTGAGACGCGGCTCGTCACTCGCTGCTCTGACCATGTGAACGAGCCGTTGTTTGCTGCTACAAAGTTTTGGTATTAACCCGTAGCACAGCAGAATGGGAAGATTAAAAAAGCAGTTCTCTGTGCGCAATGGTGCCGGAGCTGTTGCGGGTTTGGGCGCCGCTGTCTCGGCTCTGATCCAGTAGAACGCAGAGCTGCACTTATGAAAAGTACGCGGCTCGAAATGGCCGTTATTTCAAAGAACGTGGACTATTTTAAACTACGCGGTTAACCGGTTTCAACCGGTTAATGAGGCTCGGTGGTCGGTCATGAAAATTCATAGTTTTTTACATCCTTATGCCGTATTGTTTAAAATTGTAGGCAAAAAAGTAAGCTACAAGGACCCAAGCAGCATTGGACATAGTGGACCTTTAAATGCCTTGTTAATAATACAAAATGCAATATTATATGTGATTGGATGGAGATAAATTAGGACAGACTCTCTCACTCACTTGGCATAGGCCTTCTCCAGCAGCGCGCTCCAGAACTCCCTGGGCGTGGCGGAGCGGCAGAACAGGAGAGCTCCATCAGCGCTGACGGGCAAACGGTCGTCCACCACAACGTCCAGCCAGCGCCCGAAACGCCAGAAACGGAAGTGGAAAATCCCAGCGTACAGGTCCAGGTGCTTTGGGTTCCACTCCTGATCCGTGTGATTGGGAATTACCTGCAGAGAAAAGAGAGCTTGCATGTGACTACAGTCATGAGGCTACTGGTACTGTAAACTAAAATAGGACTGCATGAAATCGGCAACATTTTTAATGCAATATTTCTGATCAACATTGCGATTGCGATTTCTTAGTGTGTTTAACTAAGTCTAATTTAATTCAGAGTTTACATTTTTTTAACACACTGTATGAAGTGGCTTTAAGACTTCAGACAGAATTCCCACAGAAAATGTATTCCATAATACAATTATCATACAATATCATTACCAGAAAACCTTGAGAATATATACAGTATAAATGCTTGAACTTAACTATTTTTAACTGTTCTCCCAAATATTGTAGATAGTTGTGCAACAGATTATGACAGTTTTGCCTTTTTTGTTCCTGTTTGGTTTGCAAGGAACTGAAATAATTTACTTACAACAAAAATTGCTATTTTGTTTAGATTTCAATGAACTGTGCAGCCTTAAAATAAACATCTATAGAAAGTGGTCAAGTAATTCTTTGAGTCCACTCTGACAGATATAGGAATACCTTTTTCCACAGAGATGGCTCGGATGCGAGACAGGAAATGGCGGCGACCATCCAGCAGTTTCCCAGACTGCCTTGGTGCAGGTCCCTGGTGCTGATGCCGTCCACAAACAGACGGGGGTCTTTGCAGATCTCCTAAAGGAACGCAAGGTCAGAACAAAGATTTATCTGTGACATTTGACAGAGCGCATGTGTGAGTACTGTGAGCTGAGGAGACTGGTCCTCTGAGCTGGATGCTTTACAACACACACACACACACACACACACACACACATGCACACACACATGCACACACACACAGAGGGATTGCATTAACTAAACTCAAAACCTGAAACCAACCAAACCCTGATTCAGATCATAACAGCTTTTTGAGGGAAAAGTGTGATCACCACAGACAACATACAAAACAAACTTAAACAAATCCAAGAATATGCAACATTTAAGGTATAATATGTATTAGGTATATAACAGCAAATTAATTCAAAATAAAAGTTTTTGCATTCTGGCCCCGAATATGGTTTCAGGCCTGGACATTCTCAAACAGGGTGATTCTCTGCTTTGGAACATATGAAGCTAATGCGAAGGTTCAGATAGAAGTTCTATCTCAGTTTCATATACTGTACACACATGTGCCAATCAGCCTGCATTTAAACAGTGATTGGTGTATTTTCACAGTTTCAGCTCGTGCAGCAACCCTCCTCCTCCCCTCCATCCCCACCACCTCAACAGTGGGACTTTTCTCCATATCATCAGATCATCACTTCAGCTTCCACCTTCACCAGCGTTTGATCACAGATGTCAAAGGGCGGCTGCAGGTTTAAGTTCCTAACTAAGCAGGAGCAGACCAGACTCTACCCATTTTCTCAAATCTTCAGGTTTAAACTGGACTTACCTGAGGAAATGGGTTGGATCCAAAATCTGCAGCCACACCAGCCTTTTCTTACCCCTGGTCTAGATCCAAGGGTAATTTTATATTGATAATCACTATTTAAATTCTCTCCTGTATATGAGATTGTGATTTATCTGTCGGGGTCTAAGCACCAAACCATTACATTAGAACAAATATAATTAATTTCCATTCCATATGCCTGCTGATAAATCATGCAGCATCCTGTTTACTTCAAGCAGACATAATATATTCCTTGACCGAGTCTTTCCAGATTGAATCATTGCTGTTTTTCTCCACTCTTTACCCCAAGACAAAAAAGTACATTTAGTTCCATTCACTTTTCACCTTCAGTTCACTGGGATAAAATAACCAACATGTTGTCTACTCTTACATGTTACAACAGCCTACCCTACCAGGCATCTTGTCTTGCAGCTGTTATAATCACATTTACTCTCCAATCACAACACAGGGCTAAAAACACTGGGCTATTTAAAATAACGACCACAGTATGTATATTTAAACACCACTGTGGTTGTCCAGCAGCTCGCACCACTCAGTCACTGCTTAAACGTGATGGTAAAAGATTATATTAACCCATAAAAATACAAATTAAATAAATTGAGAGTTATTATTCATCCATTTTCAAGGAAGGGAGTCATTTAGAGGCAGAGAAACTGTGGGTCATGTGCCATACAGTAAGCTGAAATACTGTATTAAACTAAAATCTATATCTGGCTTGAGACAGTTGAGGTGGACGATATATTGAGAGAGAGATGTATTGTGATTGAAGGTAAAATTGAAACAGGTGGAGCCAAATACAACATTTCGTCTGCCTCTGTCCACCATTTTGAAGGTCAACGGCTATTTCATCTCGGCGACTCAGAGCTCAAAATGATTACCCAGTTCTCTAGTAAAGAATACAAGATGAGGGGGCATTCGTGTGCAATTTCCAAAGTGGTAAGCAGTATTTACCATAAGTACCAGAGCGCACAAAAGCACAATTGACCTGAATTGTCATAAAAAAAACAGTTTAGCCATAAAGGCGACTTATCTACCACCATCTACAGCTCAAGAATGTTCATATTACAAATTGAGAAAAAACCTGCCATTATTCCATAGTTCCATATTCCACAATTTATTGATACTGCACCTTTCACAAAGAACTTAATCATTTTTGGGGTTTTTCTGTGGCAAACTGAAACCGCAGATTCACAACTATGTAATAATGTTGAAATGCCTGGATATATGTGTACGTCTATGTTGAGTGGCCTCCTCACCCTGGGCCTCTTCCAGGACAGTCCGGCCGGTGGTTCCCTCTTGAAGAACAGAGACTGGGCTGAGGCGGGGAACAGAGGGTCCTTGAACTCAACACCGCGCCTCCGACATGAGCGCCTCAGTCTGTGGAAGCTCTGGCCCTGGAAACTGATCACTCTGTCTGGCATTTTCAACAAACACCTGCATTTTAGAACAGACAGAGTTGTTGGAATTAGTGAAAAATATGTCTCTTCTTTCCTATTATGTAATTCATTCACAATGTTGTAAAGTGCTATGTTTTAAATGAAATCTTTAGTAGATTTGAAGTTATTAAAGTAACATTGTAGGCTTTAAGTAATAGAAAAAGAAAAAACATGTTACATTCTTTACATGGGGATAGATCCGTTCTAAGTAAATGAGTAATGTTTATTTATATAGCACATTTTACAGACTGTCACCCAAAGCGCTTTACAAATGTGAGTCTATGTGTAAAATATTAATTTGTGGAGACGTGATTGATACTACGGGGGGCATATATTTCATTGTCCATTTCCTTCTACAAGTTACAGTGCCTTGCGAAAGTATTCGGCCCCCTTGAACCTTTCAAGATTTCTCCACATGTCAGGCTTCAAACATAAAGATATAAAAAATATTTTTTTTGTCAAGAATCAACAACAAGTGGGACACAATTGTGAAGTGGAACGAAATTTATTGGATAATTTAAACCTTTTTAACAAATAAAAAACTGAAAAGTGGGGCGTGCAATATTATTCGCCCCCTTGCGCTAATACTTTGTAGCGCCACCTTTTGCTGCAATTACAGCTGCAAGTCGCTTGGGGTATGTCTCTATCAGTTTTGCACATCGAGAGATTGGAATTCTTTCCCATTCTTCCTTGCAAAACAGCTCGAGCTCAGTGAGGTTGGATGGAGAGCGTTTGTGAACAGCAGTCTTCAGCTCTTTCCACAGATTTTCGATTGGATTCAGGTCTGGACTTTGACTTGGCCATTCTAACACCTGGATACGTCTATTTGTGAACCATTCCATTGTAGATTTGGCTTTATGTTTTGGATCATTGTCCTGTTGGAAGATAAATCTCCGTCCCAGTCTCAGGTCTTTTGCAGACTCCAACAGGTTTTCTTCCAAAATGGTCCTGTATTTGGCTCCATCCATCTTCCAACGATTTCAGCCATCTTCCCTGTTCCTGCTGAAGAAAAGCAGGCCCAAACCATGATGCTGCCACCACCATGTTTGACAGTGGGGATGGTGTGTTCAGGGTGATGAGCTGTGTTGCTTTTACGCCAAACAAATCGTTTTGCATTGTGGCCAAAAAGTTTGATTTTGGTTTCATCTGACCAGAGCACCTTCTTCCACATGTTCCACTTCACGATTGTGTCCCACTTGTTGTTGATTCATGACAAAAAATAAAAAAAATATATCTTTATGTTTGAAGCCTGAAATGTGGCGAAATGTTGAAAGATTCAAGGGGGCCGAATACTTTCACAAGGCACTGTACGTAGTGATGCTCAACTAAAATTATTGCAAATTATCATCATTATCATTTAAGAGTTATGATTTAAAGTTTTATGCCATACTGTGGAAAATCGTAAAACATGAAGAGCCAAGGATCAGAAAAAATGAGTATTATTTCTTTGTTTCCGTCTTAAGAAAAAAGAGAATTTCCAATAAATGACTATTTAACATTTCCAGCCTCTTGCATTAGCTCAGACTGCCACGGCCCCGGTCTGCGCCCAGGACCTGTTTTAGTCGTCAGTGATTTAAACCCTGACGCAGCAGGGTATCCATGTTGACCGAGGTGCATCAGGTGTTAGAGAGTTTGAGGTCATCTGAGGACGGCACAGAAGATCCAGAGAGAACTTACCGACCTGAAGATAAACCCGCGGGAAAGGTGATCAAAGGCTGGGTTTGCTTCATTTTTTAATCCATAGTAGTGTGCAATTAACTGAAATAATATACAAACAGTTCACTAGTTTTAAGGTTCAGATGATTTACCGTAATTACCACTACTTGTTCCAGGTTTTTTTTAACTCTATAGCTCTACAACCAATGTTTGTATGTTCATCAATCAGCTGTAGAACTCCAGCTGATGATGTGGCACATGTTCCTGATTCCAGACGTGTTTATGTGAACAGCAGAGACACAAGGGGAAATACACAGGACTTGTTGCTATGTGGTTTTATAGAGTTATCATTTTGACTGAAGTTCTAGAGTGGATTGGACGCCGTTTTTATAGTCAACAGTCGGCTGTCGTCTAATCATTCAGCTGTTGGTTAAGTCTTATATTAAAAACATGAAGACCCGTGGCATAAACTTTATCTCGTTTGGTTTGAGTCATGTACTCAAACCAATGCTTAATAGTCCAGCAAGAAGTTTATATTGTTTTTGAGTGCTGCCAATGTTCCTAATGCTTGAGAATTGTGCAATGCAACAAATACAATTTCCCCACTGTGGGACTGAGACATGTTCTATTCTTTTGTTCTTAATAAAATATATTCTCTGCATTTGATCCATCCTTCCAATGCAACGAGGGGTTCTGTTAGGAGCAGGGGTGGTGCAGTGTCCGGGGACCTATCTCTAGGACCAGAGCTTGCCCAGAGCTGGTGCGCCCTTTATGATCCTGGTGTTTATACAGTGCCTTGCGAAAGTATTTGGCCCCCTTGAACCTTTCAACATTTCGCCATATTTCAGGCTTCAAACATAAAGATATAAAATTTAAATTTTTTGTCATGAATCAACAACAAGTGGGACACAATCGTGAAGTGGAATAAAATTTGTTGGATAATTTAAACTTTTTTAACAAATAAAAAACTGAAAAGTGGGGCGTGCAATATTATTCGGCCCCTTTACTTTCAGTGCAGCAAACTCAGTCCAGAAGTTCAGTGAGGATCTTTGAATGATCCAATGTTGTCCTAAATGACTGATGATGATAAATAGAATGCTCCTGTGTGTAATCAAGTCTCCGTATAAATGCACCTGCTCTTTGATAGTCTCAGGGTTCTGTTTAAAGCGCAGAGAGAACCATGAAGACAAAGGAACACACCAGGCAGGTCCGAGATACTGTTGTGGAGAAGTTTAAAGCCGGATTTGGATACAAAAAGATTTCCCAAGCTTTAAACATCTCAAGGAGCACTGTGCAAGCAATTATATTGAAATGGAAGGAGTATCCAATGCAAATCTACCAAGACCCGGCCGTCCCTCCAAACTTTCATCTCAAACAAGGAGAAAACTGATCAGAGATGCAGCCAAGAGGCCCGTGATCACTCTGGATGAACTGCAGATAACTACAGCTGAGGTTGGGATGGTGTGTTCAGGGTGATGAGCTGTGTTGCTTTTACGCCAAACATATCGTTTTGCATTGTGGCCAAAAAGTTTGATTTTGGTTTCATCTGACCAGAGCACCTTCTTCCACATGTTTGGTGTGTCTCCCAGGTGGCTTGTGGCAAACTTTAAGAGACTTTTTATGGATATCTTTGAGAAATGGCCACTGGCCACTGGCCGGTACGAGCTCCATTCATTTAAACGAGAGACTTCAAAAATTCTCAGCAAGTAAACTAGAGTGGTCCAAAAAAATTCACTCCCCTCAGAATTGACACACATGTGGAACGGAGCTTTGGGCGAAGAGCCAACTTTTGGTCCATCCTGTAAAGATGTTTTCGAGGAGGTAAGAAGATGCTATATGTTAGCTTTGGCTAATTCTTATTCCGGGTCCACCCCCACAGGCCCGGGGTGGTATTGCAGCATGTCAGCGCACGTCATTTTGGCCACTTTTGAGCCGGGACCCGCCCCTACTGGTTACGACACAAAAACTAGCGCCGTCAGAACATATAAGGAAATTGGCTCCAGCTCAAATTGGCGTCTTCCACATTCAAGAAACATTTGTGACATCAGCACTCGGTCAGTCTATGTGTCCCACTCGGTGACATACAAATTATATTACACTATGTTATTGCCATGTTTAATGTATTTTTGATTATATAATGTCTAGCTTTACTTTGAATATTGACTATTACAAGTTGGATATTCTCTTTCTTCAAAATGGACCTAAGATTATTACCTTTAAGATTGTGGTCGAAGAATCTCGGGGCACGTAAACTTCTTTGAAAGAGCCGTCCTTTGGTCATTTAGGAAACCCTGTCTATAAGTACAAACAAACATTCTTAAACCCAACTGACATTATTGAAGCCTGTACAACACATTAGACAAGGTAAAAATCTACTCAAAATGTTGCCAAGTTTTGAACATTTTGTAAAGTTGGTATTGTCACTTCCTGTTTGGACAATGGCTGAAGATGTGACAATACCAGGAGAGCACAACGCAATCATATCAATATGGCAACCTTTATCTTGTTCAATGGATATTTAAATGAGCAGTCTTTGAATTTGATTACATGCGTGCAGGGATGCCATGTTTTAACTTCCTTTGTGTCCTGTAACTTTTTGTCACTAACTGAGACTTGACAGGTGTAAATTAACTAAACATATTTTACATAGTAGTAGTAAGTAGTAGTAGTAGTAGTAATCTTTATTTATATACCGCCTTTTCACTGCACATCGGAGTCTCAAAGCGGTTTACAATTGTTATTTTTGGGAGTGGGGGTGCCAGAACAGGAGGCACATGCCAGACCTATTGTAGATATTTTTAGTGGTAGGGGAAACCGGAGCACCCGGAGGAAACCTACGCAGACACGGGGAGAACATGCAAACTCCACTCAGAAAGGCCCTGGTCCAACCGGGATTTGAACCCAGGACCTTCTTGCTGAGAGGCGAGAGTGCTATCCACTCAGCCACCGTGCCGCCCATAGATTTGGTACATAGATTTGGTAAAAACAAAAAAAGTCTTTGGGGAAAGTAATCTGTCATACACACACACACACACACATAATAATGCTTTTCTATGTTTGTGAATGTGAACTCCCATCCTCCTTTGGGTCAGACTGTTACTAAAGCCTTTGAAACCTTATCCCATCTCTTACTGACAATAGATCCAGAACACGCTGACATAACAATTGCAGATAGCAAAGCACTGTGTAAACACCAACAATTACACAAGAAGAACAAGTTTACGGTTGAATAAAATAAAATAAAATATACAACCAATATTATCTGTTTATATAGATCCATTAGTGTTGCTAATAGTAGCTTGAGTAGTGGTAAAATAAGAACCTATTTGGATTGTGCAACTGGCCTGAAAAGCAGATTACATAGACACATGTAAATTGTTGATGATTTAACTTATTGTTTTAAATGCATGTTTTAATGCATTTCATCCAATCCAATGTATTTAAATATAGCATATTTTGTAAAGTGCTCCAAAGAAAGAGAGTCATAGCTACAAAAGATTTTAAAAAAAATCAAAATAAATGATCTATGTCTGCCAGCTATGTGTGTAGTAAAAACCTCCTTACTTATTTGTATATAATTATTATTATTATTATTTTTTTACTAAGGACTCATCTGGAGGCACAATTTCTATGGCTTCGAATAATGAAAGAAAATAATAAAAGAGCAGTGTAAAGAAGACACATAATCACAGATATAAAAAACACAAATATTCAAAGATAAATACAAAAAAAAGGAAATTGGGTGAATATATCTATATGATAAGGCTGTAGAAAAATGGCAGATTTAGATTAAAAAAAACATGGCATAGACTGCATGCAAGTAAATAATAATAGCAAGAATGGCATCAATAATTTGTGTTTTATATTTGTTTTCATATTTATTTTATGTTCTTACTTTCCAAGAGCGCTCCTCACTCACCGCTGCTGCTCTCTTTGGTGACACTGCACATTCTGCTCTCTCTGGTTTCTCTGGTCTCCTTCTGGTCAGTGTCCAGTCCAGAGCTCTTCATGCCTTCTCTCCTCATTGGAACATGTCCGGAGGTTCTTTTAGACGTTGGTAATCTTCAGTGAGACGTGAGAGCGCGCTGAGGATCCACTCGTGCAGACGCTGGAGGTTTTGTTGCTGTGGTGGGGAGCCCCTGACACCTGAGATAGAGACAGCAGCCGGAGTATTAACCCCTCTATGACCGAGTCTGAGCATGTGTGCTGTCTGGGAGAGTGTCAAGAGAGTAGAAATTGTTTGTTAGAGCTCTAAATAAGAAAAAAGTACTTATTTACTATTCTAAAGTTAGGGATTTTATACTTGCTTCTTTAATATGCTACTGTTAGAGATTTTATACTTGCTTTGTTTTGGATTGTATTTTAACACTGAAATTTCCCCAGTGTGGGACATATAAAGGATCTCTCAATCTTAATATAAAAAAAAAAACTCACTAATTTGAGGTGAATTGATATAAAGAATGTACGTAAAAACAATAAAACTAGGGTATTATCAGAGTAACATAACATTTAAAGCTGGCGAACCTATGTTTTTACAGTTGGTTTATCACAACAGAAAGGGTCTTATAAAAGTCAAATGTTGTTGACAGGACAGACCACAACATGCTGTATTCATTTTATTAGAAAAACTGTAATCCTTTGTATATTTGTAAGAACGAGAGCTGATTGGCTGAGTGAAGGTGGTCCTCTCTTTCTGGCTTTAGTTAGTCAAAACATACATGCAGATGGAAACTACTGATAGAAGAATTGAAAGTGATATACTAGTTACATGGATTTTTTTTTGTGTGGTTTGAAAATTAGGTACCTACCTTTAAATATCTATTTAATTCTTTTGGTCATTTGGAGAGGGGGAAATAGGCTTGGAAGGCTAAAAATTTACCAATAAACTGTAAAATATGTGAGATATTTCAAAACAGAGCTGAATTTCATTACACAAGATAGGATCAATATCTTGATCCTATCTTAGGTTGCTAAGGACTTAGATCAGAAACTTCTCTTTGAAACAATATATTATTAAAAACATGTTAAAGCCTGGTTGCATTTCTTAAAAACTGTTGAAGAAAGTACTGAAGGAGAGTGATGCCATCAGTATGAAGCGAGTGATGGCGGAGCGGTGTAGGGTCAGAGAATGTTTGGGCCGGTGTCTCGTCTTGTTTTATACCATATGATATTGTAATGTGTTACTGTGTTGCTTTTGTATTGTTCTTTTTCATCCAAACCCTGTTCAAAACTAGATTATTTTAGTTTTTTGTTCTGTAAATTTGTGTAGTAGAAGTTTTGAAATAACCATAATTGATAAAACGAAGTGGAAGTGGATAAGATGTAACATGTCTCTTTATTTGGTAAAAACATCACAAATATTTGCCTTTAGGAAAAACTGCAGTGTGCATAAAGTACAATAGGAAAATGTATTGAAGTAAAAAGGTTAAAAGTTGAAAAAGGCATCTCTTATTCCCTTATTGGCAGTAATACAAAACATGTATAACAAATACAGATAATAACTTATAACAGAGAATAGTCTCCACCCGTCTTCACAGAGACATTACTGCTTTGGCAACACTTTTTTCCTTACCACTTGCTTTAATACATCATGCGTTTTATTATTACTTCTGTAAAACATCCCAGCAAGGTTTACAAAGTAGTATTTTTAAGCATTTTTGTAAACATTGACCTTTGATTTTTGTTAAACCAGGAGTCCCACAGACTTTTCAGAATCTCACCAGACCCTAACCCAGACGCAGAGCGATTGTACATGTTTTTAGTGGTAGGGGAAACCGGAGCGCCTGGAGAAAACCTCGTCAGACATGGGTAAAACGTGCAAACTCAACGCAGAATGGCCCCGTCTGGATGTGGAATCTAACCCATGACCTCCGCTAACCACTCAGCCAGAAGAATACTGTTTGGAGTGACACATGAGGAGTTCGAGGTCGTACTGTCGTGTTTGTTCTCAAAACTCAGATGCATCATGGGTATTTTGGGTCGTGCTGCCGTCGTCAGTCGTCTCCGTCGCCGTACTTCCTTTAGTCCCCATGTCTCCTTTCCAAACCTCCGAGAGACATTCTACACACGCAAAAAACCAACAATTTACATTTCCTCCAATGAGCTATTTTTGAACTCTATTTATTATCTCATTGATGCTATTTCTGTTGTCCTATTTTAAAACTTAAAAAATAGGAAAAAGACAGACGAAATGTTGACTCGCCTTGGTCTGTGGATTTCAGCGCATGGTTCAGACAGAGAAAGTTTTCCAGTCTTTGATCCTGATGATGAAAGTACCAGTCCTCCACCACCTCCTCAAACTCCTCCAGCATCGTCTCGCACTTAAAACAACACAATTGCAATTAAAATCCTGTTTACCTACATCTGAAAATAGTAAATACTGCAATTTAAGAATATCCACTGAATGTCACTTTATCTACTTATTATCCTGCCCTATATGTATATAACTTTGCACTATATACAGATAGAGATTAATGGCTTATTAAACGAGCGCAAGGTCTGTACAGAGAAATATCAGACCGCGGCTCGGTCTGACTAAAAAGACTGTAACAAAGTTGTCAATCTCTTCTTGACTGTTAAAGCTGCACTAACTGACTTTGGGATTTTGAAGCCACGAACTCGCTGGCCTCGCTCCTTCTGCTCCCCTCCCCGCACCCACGAAGCTATCGCCCCCCACACACACCCACTGTTGTTGACGGAGCTAGCGTCTTCCAATATGGATAATACATGGATATGGATTTGCACGTGGATGGTGTGACCATAGAACAATAGAACCGGGAAGTGCGGAGGAACGAGACTTTCTTTTGGATGGCTGTTTTGCTGTGTAAGCAGTAACCGGTGACGAAGACGAGGAAACTTCAGGTTAGCTCCTCGGCTTGTTGTGCTAACTCAGCCGTCTGTGCTAACGGACCTGTAGATTTCTCGCGAAAGTGGGGGCCAGTGGTCCGCTGTGATTGGTCACAATCTGAGACCCGAAACACATCTCTTCCTTGTTTCATCAAAACTCGATCTAAAATATAATGTCACGCCAGCACAAATCTGCGCTACTTTTTCTTCAAAAGGACGTATATCCCAATGCACTACATGGACATGGATAGCATTTTCGTAATGAATACAAAAATAAAGTCAGTTAGTGCAGCTTTAAGAGTTGTGTTTTTGTCATTATTTGCTGTTATTACTTCCTCTGGCTCTTCGAACTCGTCCGGATAATAGAATTCACTGGGAGAATGCTCCCAGTCGTCGCTCATTTTTATTTATTTTTTTACCGAGGAAAGATATCAAATTTGATACGCGCTGCGGACCAATTGTCATGGTTACGATCCGAGATGGGAAAATATCAGACCGCAAATCAGCCAATCACAGCGCGCGAGCAATCCAAGTCATATACTAAATATTGATATTGGAGCATTTACAGCTAGCTAAGAAACATAGCAGCTACTTATATACTTTTTGTGTGCTTCCTTGAGAATTTACCCACCCAGGAAAAAAGGTCAAGTTAGATTATGAATGATAAAGCAAAATATTTTCTCCCACTCATTGTTATTAATTGTGTGAAGCTAAATGTTTTTCATTTTTAAATTATAATAGAACAAGAACAGAAACTTCTCCTCTGACCCTGATCAGAAATCTCCATCCCCCAGTTGTATTATGTACTTTGTGTATATAATCCCCCTTTAACATCTATGAAGGCTTGGAGACTTCCGTGGCAGTTGTGGATGAGGTTCTTTATCCTCTCTGGTGGTAAAGCTGCCCATTCGTCTTGGGAAAAAACACAGTAAATTCTTGGGCTACCATGCATGAACTGCAGGTTTCTTTCCAGAGTGGATCAAGTATGTTATCATCTTAAAATAGAAATAACACTGAAGCATTTACAGCTAGCTAAGAAACATAGCAGCTACTTACAGTGCCTTGCGAAAGTTTTCGGCCCCCTCGAACCTTTCAACATTTCGCCACATTTCAAGCTTCAAACATATAGATATAAAAATGTAATTTCTTGTCAAGAATCAACAACAAGTGGGACACAATCGTGAAGTGGAACGAAATTTATTGGATAGTTTAAACTTTTTTAACAAATAAAAAACTGAAAAGTGGGGCGTGCAATATTATTCGGCCCCCTTGCGCTAATACTTTGTAGCGCCACCTTTTGCTGCAATTACAGCTGCAAGTCGCTTGGGGTATGTCTCTATCAGTTTTGCACATCGAGAGACTGGAATTCTTGCCCATTCTTCCTTGCAAAACAGCTTGAGCTCAGTGAGGTTGGATGGAGAGCATTTGTGAACAGCAGTCTTCAGCTCTTTCCACAGATTCTCGATTGGATTCAGGTCTGGACTTTGACTTGGCCATTCCAACACCTGGATACGTCTATTTGTGAACCATTCCATTGTAGATTTGGCTTTATGTTTTGGATCATTGTCCTGTTGGAAGATAAATCTCCGTCCCAGTCTCAGGTCTTTTGCAGACTCCAACAGGTTTTCTTCCAGAATGGTCTTGTATTTGGCTCCATCCATCTTCCCATCAATATTAGCCATCTTCCCTGTCCCTGCTGAAGAAAAGCAGGCCCAAACCATGATGCTGTCACCACCATGTTTGACAGTGGGGATGGTGTGTTCAGGGTGATGAGCTGTGTTGCTTTTACGCCAAACATATCGTTTTGCATTGTGGCCAAAAAGTTCGATTTTGGTTTCATCTGACCAGAGCACCTTCTTCCACATGTTTGGTGTGTCTCCCAGGTGGCTTGTGGCAAACTTTAAACGAGACTTTTTATGGATATCTTTGAGAAATGGCTTTCTTCTTGCCACTCTTCCATAAAGGCCAGATTTGTGCAGTGCACGACTGATTGTTGTCCTATGGACAGACTCGCCCACCTCAGCTGTAGTTATCTGCAGTTCATCCAGAGTGATCATGGGCCTCTTGGCTGCATCTCTGATCAGTCTTCTCCTTGTTTGAGATGAAGGTTTGGAGGGACGGCCGGGTCTTGGTAGATTTGCAATGGTCTGATACTCCTTCCATTTCAATATAATTGCTTGCACAGTGCTCCTTGAGTTTAAAGCTTGGGAAATCTTTTGTATGTATCCGGCTTTAAACTTCTCCACAACAGTATCTCGGACCTGCCTGGTGTGTTCCTTTGTCTTCATGGTTCTCTCTGAGCTTTAAACAGAACCCTGAGACTATCAAAGAGCAGGTGCATTTATACAGAGACTTGATTACACACAGGAGCATTCTATTTATCATCATCAGTCATTTAGGACAACATTGGATCATTCAAAGATCCTCACTGAACTTCTGGAGTGAGTTTGCTGCACTGAAAGTAAAAGGGCCGAATAATATTGCACGCCCCACTTTTCAGTTTTTTATCTGTTAAAAAAGTTTAAATTATCCAATACATTTCGTTCCACTTCACGTTTGTGTCCCACTTGTTGTTGATTCATGACAAAAAATTAAAATTTTATATCTTTATGTTAGAAGCCTGAAATGTGGCGAAATGTGGAAAGGTTCAAGGGGGCCGAATACTTTCGCAAGGCACTGTATATTCTATATTTTGTGTGCTCCCTGTGTGCTCTTACTACTGTCCTGTATGTGCGCTGCAACATTGAAATTTCCCCACTGTGGGACGAAAAAACGTTTTCTTATCTCTTATACTTAGTTGACAATATATGGCTTCTCACAACCTGTAGTGAGGCGTGGGGGGGAAATCAAAAGTTCATTATCTACAAAATATGGCCACTATACAAAGTCATTTTGGACTGGGTCTCACACACACACACACACCTGTTTCTTCATGTCTGACACCTCCACAGACGGCTCGTCCCACAGCTCAAAAGGCATCCCCAGGTCGACCTTTACACCTTTATGCACAAGGTTTTTCAGGGTGGTCATGGTTTGACTCGCCCCCTGTGAAAGAAACAGGAAATTTACAGCATTATCCCGTGGGTTTTTTGAATAGAGTTATTTCTTTCCGATGCAGGAGAGTCTAAGGACAGTGGTGATGATCCAGGACACTCAACAGTCAACAACATTTATAGACATTTGTCAACATTTACAGACATTGGTCATCCGCCCCTTATGGACCAATGGCTCTATTTGTTTTTTATCATTGCATTTCTTGTGTTGGAACTTTTTGATTCTCTGATCTGTGCTGGCCAATTCAACAGTTTAGTTAAGTCCTCTGAGATAACTACTGTTGTTATTTAGGGCTATACAAAGATACATTGAATTGAATTGAATTACATTTTCTTGAATATTCCTAGCCCCATCTCTAATCTTCACATGAAATTAAATAGATGCCTTGTTTCAGACCCTGCGTGAGCCGCAGAACAGAGGTCATTAACTATTAAAGACGATGTATGGATTACCTTTGCATATCGAAGGCTGCCCGGCCGCTCTGCATGAACATTATACTGCAGAATGCCCTGACAGATGTCGTCCAATGCGTCTGCCAGTCGAGTTTCACTAAAACCACAAGAAACAGCCTGTTATTATTTACCCAGTGAGTTCATCTGCTCCAGTTTAAAAGTACATACGATGTGTTGTATTTAATTTTCCTCCGGCGTTTCCCCGTGTCCAGCACCTCTCCCAGCTCCAGCACTTCTTTGGAGCGCTCCGTCTTCTCCAGAGCTTCCTGCAGCTCCACTGTCAGGAACTTACACACTGAAAAGAGGCAAAGCTATGGTCAAAATAAACTGGGGAGAAGAAGAAGCAAACAGATGTCAGAGAAAGTGACTGAGACGAGCCTCCAGCAGATACACTGAAGGAGAGATCATCCAAGCAGCCAGAAGTACATAAAATACTAAAATATTACCAAAAAATGTTTTCGGTTTTGTGACATTTAATTAAAGAACAAAGGAATATGTTCTCCTACTTAAATTATAGTAAAGACTCTATTGGAAAAACAAAAGAATGGGGAGATGGTTTTACGAGTTGGTATAGTTTTTGTCTTAAGGCTGGACTTTACAGTTTTTATTCGATACCATCAATATATCCCAGTATGGATTTTCAGTGCAGACGTTGTTTGTCATTTAGTACATTTACAAATAGATCTTGTGGTACATTCATTTAAAATAACGCGAAAAATGACTCCAATAAGTTAGTATTAGTTGTACATATGATAGCAGAGGTGTGTATTTGCAAGTCATGTCATGAAGCAGACTCGACTTAGTCCACTTGAGACGATATGAATATTAAATAAATAATTATAACCAATGTGATCTTTTTAAAGTGAAGTAAGTAAGTAAGTAATGTTTATTTATATCGCACATTTTACAGACCAAGGTCACCCAAAGCGCTTTACAATGTTCAGAGTTCAGATATTGTTCCAATCATTCCACACACGGTGATGACAGAAGCGAGTGGCCGAACACACTGGACCATCAGCCCCCAATCAACACCATCCAATCACTCTCTCATTTACATTCATACCTATTGTGCATGTTTTTAGTGGTAGGGGAAACCGGAGCACCCGGAGGAAACCTACGCAGACACAGGGAGAACATGCAAACTCCACTCAGAAAGGCACTGTTCCGACCGGGATTTGAACCCAGGACCTTCTTGCTGAGAAGCGAGAGTGCTATCCTAGTGAAGATCAGTGGAAGGGTTAGGGAGGGTTAATCAGAAGTTGCTGAAGTCAGCCATTGCTTTACACATCATCTGTGTGTGTGTGCGTGTGTGTTGTCAATGTTCTTGTGCAAAATAAAACAAAATAAAATAGTGATAACAAATTGAACAAAGCATCTGTTCAATGTGCCTTTGTCTCATACAATTATAATGCAAAATATATTTCAATCAATAAATCTTTATTAAATATGAATTGTTTATATTGACGTTTGACAACAGGAGGCACACAACTAATGCATGATGTGTGTAACTCTAGAATCATGAATGTATTACATGATCCAGGATTTTCTGAGCACTTTGAGTTGCCTTGTGTATGAACTGCTCATGGATGTAAACTGCTGAACAAATAAACTTAACTTTCCACTTTATATCTGTGCAATAACATATAATCCTAGTGCTGTTTCTGTGCTGTGTTCTTTTACCTTCACATTTATTGGGCAGTCTCTCGTCTTCGCTCGCAGAAACATTTCTCATGATCCACAACAGAACAAAGGCGAGGATTTTCATAGTTTATACGATTATAGAAAAGCCACCAGCAAAAATTCTGTTTACAAATGTGCTGCTGACGTGACGCATGCGCAGTGGTCTCCAAGGATGACGAGCTGATCCCCGAGCGAGCTGGTATGAAGTACTGACAGTCTACAACAGAACCATAAAACTATAATAAAATGAGATGACAGGTCCAGATCCATTGATATTTATATGTAATTAAGTTTATTAAAGACTCTAGGCTCTACAGAGTCTAAGAATTTTATGATTTGAAACTAAATTAAAATTCAGAAACTTGGCAACTTTACGCTACATCTGGAGATTCCAATTGTTATGGGAATTGTGATAGTAACTTTACTTCATTATAGTTTTATTATCAGGCACTTCATGTGGCCTCTTCTTTTTACACATAAACAAGTGATGTAAACAACACACAGCTCTTTCCAATGTTTTGAGAGTATAAAAAGCAGGATTTGTTCATTCATTCATTCAATTAATTTTTTTTTTGTTTTTGTTCTGCATTACCTGTGTTCAAACTGTCTGATTCTCTGTTCTGTCATTGGTGAATTCACAACTCTGTAAAGTCCTCCCACACGTCTGCTGTTGAATTTTAGGGCACTACAAAAATGGATTGAGTTGGTTCCACAGACAGACGCATGAGGGCGCAATAGTGCAGTGCCAACCAGAAATAAACGTACCATATCAGTGTGAGGGAAACGAGACTGTTCACCAGAGAAAACACATATTGGTTTTACTGAGGATTCCCTGTTTGTCTCCGGAATATTCTACACGTTTAGATGGAAATAGATCAGAGTAAAGACAAAAGAATCAGAGCTATCTTCAATATGGAAAGCCTTCTCACTCCAAACACTCTATATAAGTGATTGCTATTGGAAGATATAACTATTTAAGACTTATTATAACACAAAAATATCGCTTACTTCTGCTTAAATTTCAGCTTTGAATATCTTAAAATTATATACATATAGAAGAAAAAAGTAAAATCTATTACTATAACCAGCCCAGAGTGGAAAGTTTTTTTTTTATGAAGGTATTTCCCAAAAGGATTATTTTAGTGTCTAGCTTCATCCAAAACTGGACTGAAGGTGAAGAAAGCTTGTAATTGTAGACTATATGCTATTTTCTTTATTTTTTTTAATAACCTAATTACGTGATGGGCTTTAAAATTTTAGAATGACACGAATAGTATTGTTGTTTTCTTGAAATTAGCTAACATGCCATAGCAGCCATAATAACATATTACCATCAATGCAAGTTATTCATAATAATAGTTGGGCCTTGTGTATATCTATGGTATTGACACTAAAATTGAGTTACTATCGCCCACTTCTACCCCTCTCTGGTTTGACGAGAATGTTTGAACAATGTGGGAGCAGAGTTTAAGATTAAAAACAGTACAGTATAGACATGCACAGAATAAATGGGAGAAGCAAAGGTTTATCCAGCAAAATGGAACAGCTTTCAGGTCACAAGGACACACTTAACCTGGTCCATCTGGAAACGATCTGAGCACAACGTTTGCTATAGAAAAAGCAAATGGTACGGAAGAAGACAAAACATTGTTCTCATTTCATCTTTTGAGAGGCAGCAGGTCGAATCTGTTTTGAGGCTTTTGCGATCCAGCACCTGTCAACACTCAGTCATGCCGAAGTAAGAGAACCAAGTAGAAAAACAATAACACTGGACTTGGATTCGTGGCAACAAAAGTAAGTTTCCATCTGAGTTGTATTTGTGCCAACGACATGTTCGAGAGCCAAGCTGCGAAACATCTTCTACTGCATCAAACACAAGTTCTAGAGTAAGAAATTAAGCTGGTGCAGGTTTGAGCAACTTTAAAACAACAACATCGGATCAGGGATGGGGTTGTAATCTCAGCAAGGATTAAGAAGGATTTAATCTGCAAAAAAGTCCTTGTGATAATAACTATAATGACTGATCGTTCAATAGATAATGTGTCACTTCTAAGGCTATAATTACTGTTTCTGTCTCTCTTTAGACATAAATAGAAAGAGCTTCGTACATTCGGCACTTTATTTCTTAGAGCATGGGATAACCCTGCTTTAGCACCTGAGGGCCCCTGAGGACTAATTCTGTCATTGGTGTAATAAAGTTTGAGTTTTAACATAACGTCTGTAGCATCAGGAATTTATCATGATGTGTCATGACAGCTCCATCTCCCGACACGTTCAGAAAGGTGCGGGATTGTTCATTTCACATCAAATTATGTCAAATATAAATTAGGGCTGCAGGGTTTAGGAAAGTGTTATTGCTATTTTGTTCAAACTTCTCATTTGGCTTAAAGCTTCTGTACACTGGGAGAGGGTCCGTCCAAAAGCATCAGAAACTGAGAGGTTCTCACAGACCCCTGAGGAGAAGAGACTGTGTGTATTGTGTGCAATGGTGTAGGTTTGGTTCCAATCTTGGTGGGGACATTCACTACGACCTGAGTCTACACCCATTGACACGGGGTCCAGAGTTTCTCCCCCAGAATTTGTTGTGTAATCACACACTATATTTTCAATAGTGTGTTGCCTTCTATACTAAACTCAGCTGTAGACTGAATGAGAAGCAGTTATGTATGTTAACAGAAGATTAATCATCACAATTCATAATTTGCTATTACTTGTGCTTTCTCTTACTTACTTTCCAACTGTTAAAAAAGCTCCTGATATCTTTTATCTTATTTGTGGAGGTGGCATTTTTTCTAAATTATATAAGAAGGTATAGACAATCAAAAGACATTTGACATTCATATACATGAACTGCAGAATCATTTATATAACTTGGCCAATGTCAAAAGTTACATAGTATTTCTCAATACAATGAGTTAACAAGAGTTTGGCAATAAGTAACAGTGTGGATTTTTCTATATTTTCTTTTTTTTATTCCACTCTCAACCCAAAAAGGCAAGTAATGACTCACAGGGCTCTCAAGTATGCAAAATAAAAACTTAAATGACCTGTTGTGGTGTTTTGCGCACAACCAGCATGCATCGTTAACGCAATGGAAAATTTAGGTATCCGAGCTTTAATTTCGGGAGCGCTGGTTGCGCTTTGAGAAGAGTCAGGGGAGAGACATATCAGAGACACAGGGGAGAAACGGGGGAGATACGAGGGAGACCCGCACTTGCAACATGGTTCTGCATATGGTCCGAGCTCGGTACCATGTTAGAGCGGTGCTTTCACTGAGCGCCGCGGCTGTCATTACAAAGCGGCAGCAGCTGCACCAGGACGTGCACATTCGAGTGCATCGCTTGAATGTGCTTAGAGCAAATAACAGCAAGTGCCCGCTGTCACACATTTCACAGAAATTACATTATCAGCAGATAAAGGTTGTAAATCGTGGATCCGTGGAATATTTTCATCCCTAGTTTATCCTGATTCACACAACACACCCACTTATACATTTTGGATAGTAAGAGCACAATAAGTATTTTCTCAGCCTTTCAACCAACCTGTTTCTTTATTGGAGCCAGTTCTGTTCTGTCTCTGTGCCGTGTGAGCTCCTCGGAACATTAAACAGTGCGCTGACAGATTAGAAATAACGTAAGTACTTTGAATGGTAATAGATCTACAGTACTTTCCTCTGATTACTCACGTGCTACAACGCTCAGGGAACGAAAAAAAACACTTGCTTCACGCTGGCTAACTTTTAAAAATTAAACAGTCGCTCAGTGCTTCAGTTTGGCGCTGAAGAAGACAGCCAATCACTGCAGAGAACGGAACGGGTCACGTGCTGCTGCTGCTGCTGTTGCTCTGGAGGCGAGGAGGAGGCGCGACGTGTGCACAAACGGAAGACATGTGTCCCGGACCGTCCGGGTCACGGGACATCATGTCATTTTGGTGGGGACTTTTTAGTCCTCACCAAATATTGGTGGGGACATGTCCCCATGGTCCCCACGCAAACCTACGCCCTTGATTGTGTGAACTGAATAATGTGGAAAGTGAAGTGCATTTTCTGTTATATTGTCCTTTTTATGACAAAGTTACAAACTTCTTGTTGTTTCATTTCAACAAGATCACTCAGGATCCTGATCTGTTCTGGTTCAGTGACAACATCAAGATGAAATGGTTATTTCAAAGTTTAGTGTATAAGTTGTCTTAATGTTTGTGTACAGCCTGAAGAAGCGGCAGACTCGTTTATTTCAATGAGAGCATTTGTGTTTAGACATGTTTCTGTGCCTGACATTGTCTCTGACATTGGCCTGTGTCTCTGTACTCGTGTTAAAGGTGTCTTCTAAGTACGCAAGACACTATAATAAAAAATATCCATGCATCTATCTTTTGTTGTTTTGCATTTTATTTCTGACCCAATGTAATAATCCAGGCTGTAAAAACATCTATAATTAAATAACATGTTTTATGGCACATAGAAAAGCAACATCTCCATGGCAACAAGCAGGTTGTGAACCCTGTCAGAAAAGTAACAGTACCTTTAAATTGCAGTCTTTTGCTTTTTGTGCATTAGTTGAACTGCAATTTCAATTGATTTTAGTCCTAATGTAGGTGCTCATGAATACGTACCTTTCTTTATTTTCCTGTATTTCTTTTGTTTAGTTTTTAATATTTTTTCTGTTTCTTGTGACAAGCAACATGTAATATTTATGAAACAAAAAAACTATTGTATGCATTGAATTTACAGTCATCCTGTGTGTGTATCTTTTATGTCAGCGATGGAGAGACACATGTCCAGAGACTATATCACATAAAACATATACAGTCTATGGTCTGGTCATGTCCAGAAGGTGTCGGTCACTTCCTGCGGCTGCTGCAGGAGTGGACAGCACACAGGAGAAGGTCAAGAGGCCGGAACTCGATCCTCTGGAAGCTGGTGCCGAGGGTGGTCAGTCCTGGGTCAGTCCTGGGTCAGTCCTGGGTCAGTCCTGGGCACAGAGGGGTCATCTCAGAAACATCTCCCAGTTAACTGTGGATCTGGTTTCATGGAGGCGAATGCATGACAAATAT